ATTCATTCCCACTATTTCCACTGAGAGCATAACACGCGGTGAATGAAAAGAAAGTTCCCTGAAGTTGAGTTCAAGTCCTGTTTGATCTTTCATGTTCTTCTTTTATTTATTAGATCTACATATTATTTTAAATGAAAAGAAAGAACCAAAGAACTCTAGTCCGAGCATCAAATTTGAGTTGCTTTGTAAATCATGTCCGTAGCTGATCCATATGAGTATTCAACCCACTGAAATTGCAGCTGCTGCGCTGACTTTAGGCTGCAAAGGACCTCAATCATGGATGGTCAATTCACCCCTTAATCTGCCAAGCATTTTTGCGTGATCTCCATATATTTTTTAAAAGATGCTGGCACTATCCTCTTTTAAATGTGGATCCACGAGTAGATCAACCTTACTTTCCTCAAGACAAGTTAATGCCCACTGAACCAAGCTTTCATGATGATTAGCATTAGCAGCATCATTCTCCTTGTTGTCTCCTGCAGCCTTTGAACTCATGGTTTGCCTTCCATAAAGTGCTTTTCAACATCACCACTCCAAATGAAAACATATCCCATTATTTGTCAAATTTTGAAGGTGATAGTGCTCAGGATCCAGGTATCCAATATGCTACCCTTTATTAACTGTATACATTAGTCTCCACTGCAGTACTGTTTCCCGACACATTGTTGCCTTGATTAAGTGGCATTGAAACAACTTCAATCCCGTTAACAAAAGCGTAACCAAGCGTTTGTAAAAGAGCTAAATGTTAAGACTAGCGTATGATTCTCGACATGAACAATAAACTCTTTGAAAAGGCATTCTGATTTGATGCAGTTGGCATTGAGGCAGGCAGTAAAGTTTCTTAGGAAAGTATAGTGCACAGCTGCGACTGAGAGAAAAGATTGAGGCATTGAGGCTCATATAAGAATCAGCATAGCAGTGAAGACGAATGAATTTTGACCCTGCGGTCACATTGAAGGTGTAGGTGAATTGTGAGTGGAAGATCCTCGCAGTCACGCACCGAAGAGGCTCTGGACACAGTGGAGCTGCCTACTATCCGAATTTAAAAGCCATGAAATGCGATATAATATCAGTGGTCCAGTTCCGGCCATCAAATGATTTAGCTTTTGAAGCCAAAGAGCCACAGCCGAGAAGAATTATGTTCCAAACGAAAATAAGCAGATTCATCTGCGTCAAACATGTATTCTTTGATGGAAGAGAAGATGAAAATGTACATGCACTTCAGGCTAGCAATAATCATTCGACCTGATTTTGGTTGGTCAACAATGCTTCTAGTTTCTCTATATTGGATAAAGAATTGTCATTTATTTAAAAAACATTTTCATGTTTGAACTACGAACCCAATTTTATCTTTCTTCTTTCAAAGACCATGGCTATCTGGCCAGCTGTTCCATCATTTTCATTTTCATTTTGAAAGCCAGCTACTAACTAGGAGTTGGAGATAAGGCCATTTTTGGGTTTTGAGTTGTGACATTTGACCCAAATTGTTCCACAGAATTCAACACATTTTGCATCTCCCAGAGGCTGAAATTGATTGCCCAATGGGCTATGACTCACTTTTTTTGTGGGTCAAAACTACACCTAAACTTAGTCAGACTTTTTATCAAACAAACAACAGCCCACCTGCCTTGAGCCCACTTGCCTCGAGGATTAGAAAAAAACGCACCAGCAGCACTCAATCTCACAATTAGTGGGGCTCTTTCCCAGGACTCCTCTACTATCTCACCCATCCCATTCAAGATAAAATGATCAAAATAAGTTGCTATAATCTCATTTAAATGAATTTAATTATCAATATTTTCAATAGGAATATATCTTTTTTTTATCCTTGCAATAACTAACTCAGACTATGACTTCCTTTAAAAAAAATTCAATTCACTAATTCAAGTCATATAAATCATTTATCTCAAATTGTATAACATAAAAATTAACGATTTAAATCTTTTACGTACAAGATTAATTACTAAAAGCACAATTCCTTTAAAATTTTCATAATTTGGCAAGTAGCGTAAATGTTGTTGTATTCTATGAAATTGAATGAATTAATATGGTCAATTAGTCATCAATTCAATAAAGCAAGTCGTAATCGTCTTGTACTTACATGTCTTGATCATTTGAATGGAAAAAATATATGTTGACATAGAACAACCGTTTTATAAAATTCCTTTTCCAGTGATTCTATTTGCGTGTAAAAGCCAGGATGAGAGTTGGTAGGTCATATTGAAATATTTCATACCCCAATTTAATTGGATAAACATTAACCCTTGTATCACCCCCTACTAAGCTTCAACAACAAGAAAGTTGGAAAAAATCAAAAGGGACTTTAAACAATTTTCTATCCTCTACCTAACCTTTGGCTTAAAAGAAAATATTTGAACAACAATCCTAATCCTTTTCTATCAATTCTTGTATTTTATTGCCTTTGTCTATATGAATTATGTAGTTATTAAAACCTTATTCAATTATTTGTATATCATGCAATGTATGCATGTTTTAACAACTTTTATTTTTTAATCTTGTAATATATAATTAGTATATAAGGAAAAAAATAAGTAAGTTATTAATAAATAAATATGACAATATATAATTAAATAAGTAAATTAATTAGTGAGTAAATAAATAGGTTTTGTGCAACTAATTAACTACCTCAATAAGTTAAATAAGTAATTTATTTTTTACTTAATTATGATTTAGAATTTCCCGTGATTTCTCTTTTAAATCAAATCATTTGAAAACTCAAGCTTGACCTAACGGTTATTACCTTCTTTAAAAAGGTTAAGGTCCAAGTCTATCAAACACCATCCTTTACTTTCCATATGTACCAAAGAAAAAAGCATATTTTTTTAATTTTTAAATTGAAACCATTAGTCTTTTCTGAATCCAAATGTCCTAAATTCTAGACTAAATGTGATACTTATCTTACAGAAATAATATAGGAATTATTTGGCAAAAATACTAAAACAATTGACTCTTTAAAGTATACATTAGACCCTCTTTTACATAAAATTAAACGACTAAAATCCAATAAAAAAATAAAGTGTTTAATCAAACAAAAATAGTATTTCAAGGGTCTAATTAGATAAAAAAATAATGCTTTAAGGACTTAATTAAACAAAATTAAATAATACTCTAAAAGTTTAATTGATTACAATAAAATAGAAGAATTTATCTAAACAAGGAAGAAAATTTAAGGGTTCATTTAGTATTTCAGCCTCTAGATTTTTGAGTGCTACATGGTTTGCAACTAGTTGCCTAGGTCAATGATGTGGACTTAGACATCACAATTGGTCTTAACTAATTTAGTATATGCTTGTAGGGTGACAAATTATTGTTCAGACTTTTTAATCAAAGCTGCTCATGAAGGTGAGTTTGTTGGTGTCAAACTTCATTTTGACCCACCACTTTGATTAGATATTTGCAAAAGAAAAATATATACATTATGGGTATAGCAAGAAAAGAGTTTGTATAGTTTAAGTTGTTATTACTGCTCTTCTTTATAAAAAACTTGGTATGTCATTACTTACTGTGATTTTAATTTCTTTGGATGTGGACTCCTGATTGTGATTACAAATTGAACTAGGCAATAAGCATCATAATTAGTTGTAAGATGTGCGATCTAATATATGGAATCAAGAGTTTAAATAGTGTGATTATAACGAGGTCAATATAAGGTTTAACAATAGTTTAAGTAAATGTGATTAACGTGGTCCATATAAGGTTTAAGTGGTTGTTAAATTCAAGCACGTTGAATTTTAACGTATGAAAACTAGATAATTTGGTCTAATGGTCCCTGGAGTGACAATTTGATATTTGTGATGTTGACACAAATGAAAATTTTAATTTCAATTAGCCTACTCAAGACTCAAGTTGTTTTTTTATATCAATCAATCTTCTATTTGATTTTTTATTCAATATATAAATGGTAAATTAGTATTTTTTTTTTAAACAAAAATTTAGCTCAATTGCTTTTTCCAATCAAAAATGACATCCAATTAAAATTTAAATTTCAGCACTTGAATTTTTTTTTTTATTTTCAAGTTACAGCCGTTTTTGTAAAAAAAATAAAATAATATAATATAATTTTGGATATATTTCATCAACATGTATTTTAAACATTGTTCATTAATTTGTTAAATCAACTTTTTGGATATAAATGGTAAAATCAAACTTGTGTATTTTGGGTTAATATTAAAATCTTTTACTTCAAGACCAAAGTTATGGAATATTACTCTAATCAGTAATCACGTTCTTGGATAGAAACATAGATAAAAAAAAAAAAAAAAAAAGATTTGGACATTTTGTAATTCTTCACCTAATTAACTTAACCTATATATAGAAAACAATTCAGGAGTTAACTCCACTAATCGGATCCTTAGCTACGTATATTTCCCTGAGGTCACGCGGGTCCTCGTATCCTGGAGCAGCTGGAACTTTGCTTTCAAAGGAAGAACACCCATCAGTTCTCTGTTAGTTACTATCACAGTCAACAAAATTTAACTCATGGAATCTTCCAATGGTTTAATGGTTTTCTAGAGAAGAAAAGTATACCCAATTTGTCTCATAGTGAAGAAGACTAAAGAATGACATATTGTTAGGGTTAGTTGACGAACATTAAGCCAGGAATTCTTAGTTGTAATTGGAAGATTCTTTAAACAATTTCCTTTCTTTTCAATTCTTTTTTTATGTCATGGGTGTTGATTGTTGACAAGAGAAGTAATTATGTTCCATGTGTCTCAATCATCTTGACAGTCCAATGAAGAAATTAATTTCGTTCAAAGGAAACAGTTAGTTTTCACGAATAATCAAAGAAATTTCCGCATGCTTTGCATCTAACCATGCTCTCAATTCTCGTAGTCAATTCGGAAATGAAAGCGAAAGTTTCCAGGAGGACCAAGACAATAGTTATAGTTCAAACAAATTTGGGGAGCAAACATCAGACTAACAACCCCTTTACACTTGATTGGCAATTTAACAACCTGGTTATTGGATGTTTCGGCTATGCATGCCTATCTTCTTCCTTGAACAGTTCTTACCATTGCTTCTATGAAGAAAATTACCATTTCCTTCACTTCAAGGCCATCACTTATTTCTCTTCTTTGCTTCAGCTTCTTGTTCAATTCCTGGAATTGTATGTGTACTAACGACTGTTCCAGTTCATCCTTGGACCAAGTAATTCTTGACTGCGGATCTGCGAGAAACTCGTCATTTAATGGCAAAACTTGGGTTGGGGATGTAAATCTTTTCCCTGATTATTATGAAGGAACAATGATTGGCCGTGTGATCTCAAATACAACCGGACAGGCTCCAGAGAGTCCATACTCAACCGCACGCTTCGGTCGTTCTTCTTTCACCTATAGTTTCCCTATGTCCCCTGGACTCAAATTTATCCGTCTTCATTTCTACCCTACTTCTTACACTGTCATAGACCAAATCTCCAAGGCCAACTTCTCTGTTACCTCTGGAAATTACACTTTGTTAAACAATTTTGGCCCTTTTGTTATTGCAAGAACTTTGAAATCACCTTATTTCACTAAAGATTACTTCCTTAACTTAAAGAAACACATTCTGAATATCACCTTCGCTCCATCACTAGATGCTTCAGACGCTTTTGCCTTTGTAAATGGGATAGAGATTTACTCAATGTCCCTCAAACTCTCTGATTATGGAGTAAACAAAACTCCCAATGCAACCTCCAGTCGAGATGAACCTGCCCTTGAGATACTTTACAGAATCAACGTAGGTACCGAAAGTCTGAAAGGGCCCTTGTTCTGGAATGGGCTAGATGACCAGCTATATATTCAGGGTTCTAGAAATGGTACTACTATTGTAGCATATGATAATCATATAAATTACAATAAAAGCTCTTGGACAGTATGTGAATATGAAGCACCAGGGGATCTGTACAGCACAGCCAGGACAATCGGCGGCAGTGATGAGACCGCCAATGTGGGCTACAACCTGACATGGACATTTCCTGTTGATTCAGGTTTCAAATATATTGTCAGGCTTCATTTCTGTGAGATTCAACTAAACGTAATGGAAGCGAATCAGAGAGTGTTCAAGGTGTATATCAACAATAAGACAGTGGAAAGCAGCCTGGATATAGTTGCTATGGCTGGTGGTCCTTTGGTTGCAATGCATAAGGACTATATCATCATGGTTCCAGTTCCAGAAGCAAAAGAAAAAGGAAATTATCTGTGGCTTGCTTTGCAGCCTAACACTGATTCAAAGCCAAAACTTGCTGACGTAATACTGAATGGAATTGAGATCATGAAGTTGAGTGATGCTAGGAACAATCTTGCAGCGCAAGTTCAATTGGAGAATGGAGACAGAAGAAGCGCTATTGGATCAAATATCATACTGGGAATGGTTCTGAGCATGATTGTTGTAATTTGTCCAGTCTCTTTGATAGCCTGCTTTCGTTGGATTTCACTACGTCACGATGAAAGCCTTGGGAAAACAAGCAGCCTAATTGGTAAATCTTCAGATCATTGCCGTCAATTTCCCTTGGAAGAGATAAGAGCTGCCACTAACAATTTCAGTGAAGCTCTTTTGCTTGGTTGTGGCGGGTTCGGTAAGGTTTACAAGGGTCTGCTGGATGATGGGATTACCAAAGTGGCAGTTAAGCGCAAAAACCCTGAGTCCCACCAAGGAGTTCAAGAGTTCGAAACTGAAATCGAATTGCTCTCCACTTTTCGTCACGTGAACATTGTCTCTTTGCTTGGATATTGTCAAGAGGACAATGAGTTGATTCTGATATATGATTACATGGCTCGTGGCACTCTACGTGATCATCTCTACGAGACTCAAAATCCACCACTTTCATGGACTCAGCGGCTCAAGATTTGCATTGGTGCTGCGCGTGGATTGCACTACCTCCACACGGGCACAGAAAATTCCATCATTCACCGGGACATCAAATCAACAAACATACTCCTGGATCAAGATTGGGTGGCGAAAGTCTCAGATTTTGGGCTGTCAAAAGTAGGCAAGACCGCTGGATCCTGTGGGAACCATGTCAGCCCTGGACCAAAGGGTACTTTTGGATATTTGGACCCTGAATATGGCAGAGACAGAACTTTAACTCGCAAATCAGATGTTTACTCTTTTGGTGTGGTTTTATTTGAAGTCTTAAGTGCAAGACCAGCTGTCAATCGTGAACCAGACGAGGATGATCAGACCAAAGTGAGCTTGGCTAGATGGGCTGTTCATTGCTATCGAAATGAAACAGTTGATCTCCTGATTGAACCATACCTGAGAGGAAAGATCATGTCCGAGTGCCTTTCCACATTTGTGGAAATTGCAGTGAGGTGCCTGGCTAGTAGGCAAATAGATCGTCCATCAATAGGTGATGTGCTCGGTAAACTCGAACAAGCATTGCTGTTGCAGGAGGAGGCTGGCAATAATGGTGCAAGTCAAAGATGCGTGACAAACCAGTGATAGCTGGAGCAAAGCATTGATATTTAGGGTAGAAATTGTACAAATTAGAATAAAATTTGAAATGCTGCAAATAATTTAGTTTGTCATGATGATCGACAATAGGTTGAAATTAGAAGTTACTTTTCCTTAATTTTATGGATGCAGTACATTACAATCTGTGTAAATAATTCTGTACAAACTCTTGGATTCTGTATAAACTGTAAAAAGAGTGCATATATATTTTAAGCATTTAATTTTCACCGTCCACTAGACATCATGATCTCAGAAAACTCCACACCGAGCATCATATCTCTGAGTTGCTTTGTAGGCATAAGCCCTTGGGTGACTACGCATTTAAGTCACCATCGCCGTGCATCTGCAGTTGCTCTAAGCAGTAAGGCACCTCACTCATGGATGGCCGCTTCATCTTTTCTTTTCTAAATTTGACTTGCAAGAGAAGAATTCTAAAAAGAAAGTGATTCTTAATAGGTAAGTTTGACTTATAAAAAAAGCATTCTAAGAGGAGAGGGATTTTTAATGGGCAAGTTTGTATGATTATAAATAAGTGAAGTCTCTACAGGGTTAGACATGAGAAAAAGATGTAAGAGAGTTGTAGGGTTTTGTAGGATAGACACCCCATAGGATTATTGGGGCTCTACGTCTTATAGGTGTGTATGTTTATTTGTGAGTGGACTAGAGGAGATTGAAAAGGTCCACATAGGTATGATGTATAGGAACATATGGGTATGTGTTTGGTTGTGTTGAAAAGGTGCACAAGAGTTTGGGTTTGTGTTTGTTTGGGTTGAGAATACTCCATAAGATTAGAGGAGATTGAGAGTGTCTTATGAGTATTGATTGTTGAGTGAGATTGATGATTTGATGTATATTTGTAATTCTCTACAACTAATGGATCTTTTTTCTCATCCGTGGATGTAGGTCAGTTGGATCGAATCACGTTAAATTATTGTCTCTTATGTGTTTGATTTATTGTTTGATTTTGTTTCCGCTGGTGTGATTGAATTGAAGGCTTTTAACTCAACAAATGATATCAGAACTGTGGTGTTCTCGGACAACTTTTCCTTAATTTTATGGATGCAGTACATTACAATCTGTGTAAATAATTCTGTACAAACTCTTGGATCCTGTATAAACTGTAAAAAGAGTGCATATATATTTTAAGCATTTAATTTTCACCGTCCACTAGACATCATGATCTCAGAAAACTCCACACCGAGCATCATATCTCTGAGTTGCTTTGTAGGCATAAGCCCTTGGGTGACGACGCATTTAAGTCACCATCGCCGTGCATCTGCAGTTGCTCTAAGCAGTAAGGCACCTCACTCATGGATTGCCGCTTCATCCTTTTCTTTTCTAAGCATTGTTTTGTGATCTTTAGAAAGTTTCCAAGAGATTCCGGTGGGATCTTCCCTTTCAAATGTTGATCCACCAGTTGATCAGCATGTCCCTTCTAAAGGCAATATGATACCGGTGGAATCAAACTTTTGTGATCATCACCACTGCTGCCATTCTCAACATTTTCTGGCTCTGCTTTCAGATTCATGGGCGCCGGCCTTCCAGAGATTACTTCCAACAGCACCAGCCCTAATAAATACACATCAGTTTTTTCAGTTAATCTTTTATCCCAATCAAGATCTAGTGAACCAAAGCTACCGTCTATAATGGAGCCATTATTGCTATGGGATGTCATGGTTGATCCAAAATTTGAAATCTTGGCTATCAGGTTTTTGTCTAACAAGACATTGGAGGTATTGATATCACAATATTGTATGATGGGGCGCTTTTTTTCCTGTGTGGAGGTAATGCAAACTCTTGCAACTTCAACACAAATTTCAAGCCACTGGTTCCATGCAGAGGTTTCTTCCTTTCAACCAAATGATCAAGAAGATGATCAGAGAGGGTAACGTTAACCATATATTCATACACGAGGATCATGTCAAGGTCCTCTTCACAGTAAGCTAGCAGAGAGACGATATTGTGATGGCGAATTTGAGAGAGCATTTTTATGATCTCTTCGCAGAACTCTTGTTCTGATATTGCTTTAGCCCCTTGGTTGATTACTGAAGTTGTTATTCCATTAATGAAAGCTTTGTAAACCATATCGAAGCCCCAGTTAGTTGTCAATAATAGGTGACTTATCAAAGCTGTTGGTTGCCTTTCCAATGTAATCAATAGGAAAAGAGCGACAATGGGATGAATCCCTGGTTTTTTTCATCTTCCAATTTCTCTTTGTTTTTATCAACAATAAAGCAAAGAGAGAGAAAACAAAGAGTACAACCTCCCTAGTAATTTTGCTTTTGTAATCATTTCTTTGATTTTTTGGACGGTGCAGGAGAAGGAGGGTTGAGTCCAGCAAGATTTCCATCAGAGTTGCTAATATATCTTTGAACATCTCCAATCCATCTAACTTGGACGTTCGAGTATAGCTCCAGTCATAAGTCCTGTTTCCCAACAGCTTGTAACGGAATCATCACAACGTAGCCTCGATACAGGAATACCATCCCCCTTATCTGCTTGTGTTTCAGCTGTTTGATTATCGATGAATATGAAAAACACCCTCTGGCTTTCCAATGTCATACCTTGCACAATCTCACAGAACTGGAGCCTGATTACATTATTATACTGACCCATTGACGGGCCGTTCGTTAGACATCTCCAGGAGCCGTGTACCCTAAACCCCAAAAGTAATCATAGTCTAATTATTTATCATTTTTTCCTCCAATTATGTACTTGCTTCCATCTTTCTCCCCTTAATTGCTTCAATCTTTTGCAAGATGATTAATGCAGCTATATGTCACCATAATTAATTTCATGAAAAAAAGAAAATCGTTGGTGCCAAAATTAGGGATAAAAAATTTATAAAGATTGAAAATCGAATTTCAGTTTGCAATAATTCATCTCTTAGAACGTATGAATGAATTATTCTAATTAAGTATTAAATTTCATTGATTCTATTTGTTTTAGCTAAATTTTTATAAATTATTTTTTGTAAAATTTTTTTATTTTGATTAAGTTCTATTATTTTAATTATTTTAATTAATAAATTTAAAAAAATTATATTTAAAAATAATTCATTCACAATTTTAAAAAATGCTTCTTCATATTATTACCAATATTCATATAAAATAATAAAATTTTATATCAAAATGTGAAAGTGAATAATTTCAAATCATTGCATAATTTTTTTTTAAGAAAATTCGATATAAATAAATTATTCATTTTTCAAGTCGAAATAAAATATATTATATCTAACAATTTAAGATAAATAATTATAAATCATACATTTAAAATAATCTCAATAAATAATCATTAATAAGATTCTAACATAAATTTTTTTAAAAAAAAAATTCTATTAATTAAATCAATCACCTTGTTAATCATTGCATAATTTTCATTTTACAATGAGCATTGACAAGACTTCTGGCTCGAAAGTCATAGGCTGCCTTCTAATTGGTATATATTCAATATTTAAATATTAACGGAAATAAAGAAAGACCAAGAAAGTTCTTCCAGGACCCGCCATTGACAGGATAACGACCCAAAATTTGTAGTTTACTTGGTCAGGTGTTTGGTAGATAGGGGAAAAAAAAATAAAGGAAAGAGAGAAGAGTGAAGAAAAAATAATAAAGAGGAGAAAATAATAAATGTGAGATTCCAAAATCCCCCAACCAGAGGCATCCACAGCCAACTTGGTTTTGTCTTGGGTTATTCTGAATTCTAGTCAAGTCAGAAATTTTGAGTTATTATCAGTTCAGAGTTTAATTTTATAATCTCAAATATAAATAATTAATTATTTTAAATTTCAAATGAATCAGCTTATTGACTTTCTGAAATTAATTCAAATCCAAAAAATTTTAGGTTATGCTATAATAATTAATATCATGTTTACAATTTCTTTAATTAAATTAAAAGACAAAATAAAAAATAATATTAGCTCAATCATTTTAAATTTAGATAACTTCAGTTTTTAAATCAATCTGATTCAATTCATTAATTTTTTAAAATTAATTTAATTCAAGTTATGTAGAATAATTTATATCATATTTATAATTGAAAATTAAAATAACAAATAATGTATATTTTGCTTAATCTAAGTTTTGAATCATTCCAAATTCAAATAGATTTCAAGTTCATATTTGAATTTCAAGTTGAATCCTATTCGAGTTGTTGTCTTTAAAATTAAACTAGGTTGGGTGCCAATGGATTTTAGACAGATTGGATAAGTGTTTTGTTTCGAGTCTAGCTATAATCAAAGTTTAGATGGTTCTATCTCAGGCTAAAGACAAATCCATCCAAATAATATGTAATTCAGCCAGAAAATGGAATCTTGGCCGATTCTTCTTGAAAAATCAAAGATCCAAAAACCATTACAATCTCGCGCTCATACAAGGTTTTTGCTGCATATAGAATTCATTTGTTTTTCGTTGAAGTTTGACACAGCTAATAGTTTAATGAAACAGATGCTTATTGAAACTGAAATAATGTAATGATGATCACAATAATAATTACAAGGAGCCAAAAGCTTAGCCATCTGAAAACCAAAAAAACAAAAAAGCATAGGCTTCAAATTTGTTTGTCTTCAACTTTAGACCCATAAATAAATGAGCAAATTCGAATCAGATTAATAATGCAATGTCAAGCTTCCACTCCATAGGTTTTCAATTGATAGAGTTGGCAAGAGAAAATAAATTGAAAGAAAAATGATCACAACTGTGGGAAATCCAATAATCATTCTCTCAAGCTTTTGCTGCCGTTCAGGTTCTTAATACAGATTGTGGACTCCAGTTTACATAGAGTATATATCTACTAGGTTCGCAAGGAATTAAAGGCCCTTCTTACAAATTCATCCATGGAAACACCAAAGAAATTTTGACAATGAGAAACGAAGCCTTAAGCAAACCAACATGGAACTGACTACAACAAAAGGCTCCTTATAAAAGATTTGATTGACGAGTGCAAGACATTTTACATGGCTGGACATGAACCAGTAATTCCTTGCTTTCCTGGACTG